TCCTTCTCTCCCTCTCCCCCTCCCTCTCTCTCCCCTCCCTCCCTCTCTCTCCCCCCTCTCTCCCCCCTGCCTCTCTCTCTCTCTCCCCTCCTCCCCCCACAACAGCCAAAGGGACTTAAAGTGAAAATGTGATCCTATTCTCTGGCATAAAGCCCTTCAACAGAGTCCCACTGCATTTGGAGTAAAGCCCCAATTCTCACCACGACCTGTAAGGCTTGGAATGACTTGGCCCCTGCTTACCTCCCTCACCCTATCTTCTACTAGCTTCCCCCAGTCTCTCTATGCTGCAGTCACATTAACCATCTTTCATTTCCTGAAATACACTAAGTTGAAGAGAAAAATGAGCAAAAGGTTTAAAGAAAAGAAAAAAAATCACTCTCAAATTTTTCTAGATTAAAACCCTAAAAAAGTGATGGTTCTAGAGATAGAATGACAGTACTGGGAAGTTCAACCATTCTGGGGATGACAGAAAGAACACAGTTTGGGACAGGGTGAGACATCACTCAGACCAATGCTTTCAAACCTCACGCCAAGCCTGTCAACAGGTCATGGAATCTACTTAGTAGACCCAGCCATCATTTCTGCATTTTTTTAACAGAACAGATGAACACATGTCATTGAGTATGGGTAAGTACGGTTCACTGAAACTTTCATTTCAGTCATACACACAAGCACACTAGACACGTCATGATACAAAATCGGTTTCTTACTGTAGGTTGTGATACACAGTGTAACAGACTCCTAGAGGGCTGTATGTAGCAGGTAGTCAAAAATGGCAGATAAACTGATGAGTGAATGAATAAAAGAATATATGCAGCTGGAGCTATGGCAGTAAAGATACTCATTCAGAAATGAGGCAGAATGAAAGCGAGAAGTGAGGAATGCCACATTAGGAGAGACAGAAGAGGAGCCCGTGGACAAGACCAATACGCAACAGTGGCCAAGGAAGTAGAAGTTAAAGAAAGGGAGAGGTCACAGTGTGGACTGTTGATGTCATTTCAGGTGATGTCTCTTCACAGACATCAACTGAAATAAAAACTTTAAAATATAAATTCTGAGAGTTACTCTTAGATCACAGATCCCTTTGAGTATCTGACAAAAGCTATGACTCCTCTCCCTAGAAAAGCGCATGTGCAGGTAACACAGCACGCTGTATCCAGAGGCCCACAGGATCCCTGCAGCTTAACCAAACACGCCCCGGGAAGCCCAGGCCCCAGGTGAATTCCCGCTTTATAACAGATGAGTGTTGGGGGAGACATTTCCCTGCAGAGGCAAGGATGGAGACTCACCGGCAGTAGGCTTAGTAATGACCAGAAGAGCAAACAGAGAAGCAAACCAGGTGAGTCCCGGAAGAGGCCAGGTTAACTGGGAATGAGGGAACACACAGGAGGTTGAGGGGATCAAGAGAAGGTATTTTAAATGAGAGAGATCTGACACCAGGAAAATTCACCTCCAAGCACAGAGGAGTCACTGCATTCACATGGTGCACAACCAACATGAGAAGAGGATTCCAGCCTGTCTCGTTGCATTTAATTCTTCAGTTGATACAATAGGAAAAACCACCTGTCAGAACTTCAAATCATGATTACAAGTAGGTCAAAGATATTTTCCATCCTTATTTGACCTGTTAACAGCTAACTCCACAAGTGATCAGCTATTCGGGAATACCCAATATTGACAAAAACTCCCCAGAATGAACATCTTCAAGTTACCTCAGGGCTTTTTTTTTTTTTTTGGTAAACATTTTAAAAAATTTATTTACTTGGGCTTCCCTGGTGGCGCAGTGGTTGAGAGTCCGCCTGCCAATGCAGGGGACACGGATTCGTGCCCCGGTCCGGGAAGATCCCACATGCCGTGGAGCGGCTGGGCCCGTGAGCCATGGCCGCTGAGCTTGCGCGTCTGGAGCCTGTGCTCCGCAGCAGGAGAGGCTACAACAGTGAGAGGCCCGCATACCACACACAAAAAAAATCTACTTATTTTTGGCTGTGTTGGGTCTTTATTGCTGCGTGGGGGCTTTCTCTCATTGTGGCGAGCAGGGGCTACTCTTGGTTGCAGTGTGCAGGCTTCTCACTGCGGTGGCTTCTCTCATTGCGGAGCATGGGCTCTAGGCATGTGGGCTTCAGTAGCTGTGGCACACAGGCTCAGTAGTTGTGGCTCATGGGCTCTAGAGCTCAGGCTCAGCAGTTGTGGCACACAGGCTTAGTTGCTCCACGGCACGTGGGATCCTCCTGGACCAGGGCTTGAACCCGTGTCCCCTGCATTGGCAGGCAGATTCTTAACCACTGTACCACCAGGGAAGTCCCCCCAGGGGTTTTTATATCAGGAAATTCAGGATTATAAAGGAAGTTGTCTAAGATCAGCCTTGCCTACATATTATCTCCTACAGGTAAAATGTAATACGCAAGCCCAGAAAATTTTTTTTAACTTTTTTTAACTTAAAAAGCTAGTAGTTTATATCTAGGAGTCCATTTTTTTTTAACTTTGTTTATCTGTAGTTTCAAACTTCTCTAAATTAAATATATATTTATTTTGTGATATTTTTATAAAACTTTTTAAAAGATTAATTTACAAGTCAGGATAAATACATACCATGGAATTGACCTCCTAAAACAGTCACACCGTCTATTACAGACTGTGAAAGTTTCTCACTGCTGGGCCTAGGAAAGAAAAGGAAGAAAATATTACATCCCATCCCAAGACCAACTGAGCTGCTAGTTCTAAAAGCAAATGCAGAAATTCTGTGCTACCAGTTTCAGAATAACAAGTCCATTGTATTTGAACTAAATGAAACCTGCCAAGCCTGAAAACTCTGAAAATACGGGTGAAGTGTAAGCATTTTCCATTAGCCTTTCACAATATATTTCTTGGAAAGAGTTTGGCTTTTAAATGCATTTAGGAAATAGATATAAAGGATACACTAATTAACCTACCTAAATACCTTTTCAAGTTTGACTGTAACAATACATACACTGCCTGAGAACAGTAACAATAAATATTGAAACCACAGAGCGTGCATAACCCAGGACTGGGTATTAAACCACCAAGCGTACAGAGTCTAGTTTTCATTTTAAAAAGTCAGAATAAATTATTTTTCTATCTATCTGGAAATAAGATATGTAAGATATATAACTGCCTTGTAGAAAAAGATGTTCTATATCATTTAAACCAGGTAATAGACAAGAGGCAAATATTGGGTTGGCCAAAAAGTGTCTTCGGTTTTTAAGTAAAAATAAAAGACACATTTTTCATTTTCACCAAGAACTTTATTGAACAACGTAATCACCCTTTTGTTCCACTACCTTCTGCCATTTTTCAGGCAACTTCATAATTCCACTTTGCCAAAACTTTTTATCTTTTTGAGCAAAGAACTGTTTTAGGTACCTTTTACAGTCTTCGAAGGAACTGAAATTTTTTCCATTAAGAGAATCTTGTGAAGACCGAAATAAATGGAAATCCGAAGGTGCAATGTCTGGTGAATACGGCGGATGAATTAGAACTTCCCAGCCAAACTGCAACAGGTTTTGCCTGGTCATCAAAAGAGACATGCGGCCTTGCGGTATCCTGATGGAAGATTATGCATTTTCTCTTGACTAATTCCGGACGCTTTTCATCGAGTGCCTCTTTCAGTTGGTCTAAATGGCAGCAGTACTTGTTGGAATTAATCATTTGGTTTTCTGGAAGGAGCTCATAATAGAGGACTCCCTTCCAATCCCACCCTATACACAACGTCACCTTCTTTGGATAAAGACGGGCCTTTGGTGTGGTTGGTGGTGGTTCATTTCGTTTGCCCACGATCTCTTCTGTTCCACATTGTTGTACAGTATCCACTTTTCATCGGCCGTCACAATTTGTCTTAAAAACAGAACGTTTTCGTTACGTTTATGTAGTGAATCACATGCGGAAATACCGTCAAGAAGGTTTTTTTCGTTTAGCTTACGTGGAAAGCCAAACCTCAAAGCAATTTACATAACCAAGCTGGTGCGAATGATTTTCAACACCTGATTTGGATATTTTGAGTATGTCGGCTATCTCTCGCGTGGTATAACATTGATTGTTCTCAATTGATGTCTCAATTTGATAACTATCAGCTTCAACTGGTCTACCTGACCGTGGAGCATCGTCCAGAGAGAAATCTCCAACACGAAACTTTGCAAGCCACTTCTGACATGTTCGATCAGTCACAGCACCTTCTCCACATACTGCACAAATCTTTTCTGCGTTTCGGTTGCATTTTTACCTTTCTTGAAATAATAAAGCATAATATGCCAAAAATGTTGTTTTTCTTCCATCTTCAATATTAAAATGGCTATACAAAAATTCACCAATTTTGATGTCTGTTTTTAAATGCACGCTGATATGACAGCTGTCACACACAATCTAACAAAACTGTTTCGAATGACGTTAAAGACAACTAAGAGCTACTAGAGCCATCTTACGGAAAAAAACGAATGAACCTTTTGGCCAACCCAATACACGTGCAAGACTTTACTGTGAGATAATAATTTGCTTCAGAACATAAGTCACTTGGCTATTCTGTTACCTATAAATCCACAAACAATGGTATTTGGAAGTCCCTCTGGTAACACACTAAGGGTAAAACACCAGTCTAGGCCATTCGGAGACGGAATAGAAATTTCCTTTAGAAAGAATCTCTGGCTAAAACCAGATCTTATGCAAAAGAGAATGCTTCTGTTTCAAAGTACACTTTTAATCTAACATTTTACAATAACACCTTTTTGAAAAGGAAGGTAAGTGCTGCCAAACGTGACAAATGCGCAGAAATAATATAGATGGTTAATGCTTTCCAATGAACTCCAGCAAGGGAAAAATGACCTATGAACCAACAATAACACAGGCTATAAAGTAAACCTCTAAAAATAATGACTTACAATCACGTGTTCTTACTCTATGGGGGAAAAACCTAAACCCACAGAAGTAAAGGGATGGGAGACATTTGCTAAGTGCTTCTCTTGTGCCAGGAAACAGGTGTGTTGCACGTACTCATGTAATCCTCAGGAAGGACTGCATGATGTAGGCTCATCATCAACATTGTACAGGTGAGTAAAGGTAAGCTCCAAAAGGTTAAGTGACCTACTCAACCCATACAATAAGTGTGAGAGTTGGGGCTCAGACTCCAAAGCCCAAGCTGCAGTAGTGACTGAGCTCCTACATCCTACTGAAAAGACCAGGACGTGGAGAAGCCTCTCAGGGCAGTTCCACTTTCCTCGACTTTTTTGATTTGTCCTGGGCGCTAAAACAGATGCAACCATCTATGTGGTGTTCCCAAGCAGCTTTCACCAGTAGCTCTGATGGTCACCTGGTATCTCTACCAATCACCACGAAGGCATCTTGGTGCAGATTCACAGCTGCTTTCTCGCCAATGTCCACCAACACTCTCGGCAAATCTTGTTCCTCAGCGTTGGCCAAACAGGTAGCATGCTCCTCCCAGGACGGTGCCAACATTTCACCCAAAGGATCAACCAATTTTACACCATTGTCTTCCTTGAAAGAAAAACAAATAATAAGCCATCTGTGCAGTTGTGAGGGTGAGGTGAGGAAGTAAACCCAAGCTGCTTTTCCCCCAACAAAAGACAGTGTTGGCCGGGCAGTTTCCCTGGTGACCACTACTGAAGGCCAGGCACTGGGCCAGGTGTTGTACATACATCACCTCAGTAAATCCTCACAACACATGTTATCCATCTAACTAATAATCCGATGGTTACTCCAATCTTACTTTGAGAAAACTGAGATTCAGAGCAAGTACTCTGCTTATGTTCATACAGCTAGTATCAGTTCTGATATTAAAACATCAAGTCCATCTGACTCTTAAATCCAACAGCCACTGTGCCACACTAGCTGTTTTAAAAGGCTGTCATCTGAGCATTCGCCATCAATTAACTGATGAGGCACAACTGTAGCAAACCCAGGACACCTGGAGATCCTTCTCACTATGGCTGGACTCAACACACTGGCCAGCGTGTCAACCAGTGGGTGGTACAGAAGCTGAAAACTGACGCCTAATTCTGGTCTGCTCAAATTTCTGGAAAGAAAAAAAAGTGTAGTTCAGAGTGAATGTCAAAGGAAGGAAACAGCTCAGAATTGTTTTAAGCAGTGCTTCTGAAATTAACAATAAATGTGGGGTTCTGTCTACAAATCATTAAGCAATTAAGGTGATTTAGCCATTCAGACACTTACATCTTCAGAGTGATCCACATTTAGAAGCTGAATAAGCAACATCCTCTTGTTTTGGGGTGGGAAGGGAGGAGGTTACAATCCTTCACTAACCCACAGAGCTTTAACTTGCTGCTGATTTAGCTACAAAGGCAAAAGTCTCATGTCCTAGCAACCAAACAGAAGCATATTATTTAAGCCACGTATCAGTTATAGGCCAGTACAGAATACGATGGTTAAATTGTCTCAAAAGGAATACTTTAGAAACTTAATTGTCATAAACACTAGACCCATCAGGCCTCATCAGTATTCTGCCCAGGGCTCACCTTTGGATCCCTGGAGCCACGTGTTTGGCTGTTCACTCAGAACGGGAAACTATTCCCTAGCTAGAGAAAAGCTGTGTGAAAACTTTCAAATCGTGCTAAGTGTTTTCAAATGTTTGCCCTCTCCCCTCCCCCAGCTTGCCTCCAATCTCTTTAATCTCTGCTAAATTAACAGAGGCAACACTTTTTACTACTGATGCTGTCTCAATACAACTAACTTGGAAGGACATTCTGTCACTTCTCAATATGGACACACTCCAAAACATGACCATCTCCTTTCACTCTCTCCACACCCTTTAAAGAGTCATGAGCTAAATGAACACTTGTTAAGAAAAGAGTTGTTTTAAAAGTAAAGGCATATAGCACTGAGAAGGCACATTCCTAGAATTAGAATTTGTACTTTGGGTCAAAGTGCTCAGAAACTAAGGTTTGGTCTTGCAAATAAACATCTGCTTTATCGGAGCACTAAATGCATTACCTCAGGATTGTGTGATGCTGTTACCATGACTCCTATAGTAGATTTGGTCTGTTTTGACCTCAGGACAGCTAATAATCCCATTCGAAACATGACATGATCAAGGTGTTCTGCTTTCGTTCGAAATCCAGCAGTCCCATATTGAAGAGTGAGTCCATCAGGCTTGGCATGTAATGCTGACTGCTTTGTAACAGCATCTAAATCCATGTCTACAAAATTAAGGAATATTTTTCAGGCATAAGAAATCTTTCAAGGACCATCTGGTTCAAAAACTGCCATCCCAAACTAACAGATCTGCCTCATTCTGAACCTCCCCCCAAATCCTATGTTTGAGAGCGGAAAAAAATGGTAGAATAAGTCCCGGAGGTTAGCATTAACTGTACTGTTCACTTCAGGACAGACATGAGACTGTCCCCAACAATTCCTGGACCTAAGGCAAACTTAAAATGGTCCATTCCCAACTAAAATGAAGATTCTACACCTAGATTCAGAGACTCCTACAAGGGACCGTATCGTTTTACAAATGGGAACACTTAATTCTGGGTATCAGTTAAACAACCTAAATTTTACATGGGAAGCTGCTGACAGACTGAGGCCGAAGGTCACATTCTCCAGTGGACTGGGGCTGCATATACAAAATATCTGGGAAGTCTGTGCAGTTCTTCTGCTATTCCTCCCAGGCTACAGAGACCTATTCCCAAAGGAAAAGCAAAGGGCAAAAGCCTCCTCTCCAAGACTGCCCAGACCTCCCAATACACCTTGCAGTGGATTTTTGTATTTTCGTAAGGGAGGCTCAGGACACCCTTCTAAATTAAGCTCGGAAACCAGCAACATCTTCCTTTTACCTTTCATTTAAAAAATCAAACATCAGCCCTTAGCCCGCTAGTACTTCCTTCTCTGGGATACTCTAACTTTAAGTGGAACTTGGGGCTTCCAACTCTTCTTTTCTTTATTGTCCTTCACTGCGTCAATGAACAAAAGTTAAATGTTTCCTTTTGTCCAGTTGGAAAAAGCTGGCATTCAGGACGCTAATTTAGATTGGCCTAGAGCGATCAAATCTAGCTCACATGCATGAAGACGTTTTATTAAAAAGTGACCAGTCGTCAATGCATCTTGGTTATTTCTAAGGGCATAAACGAGCTGTTACGTCCAAAAGTCTTAAAAAAAAAAAAGTCAAAAAAATAAATAAAGAGTCAAGGTAAAATGTTTCCACCCTTTCATGCGTTCTAGGTCCTAAAACTACTTTCAACGAGCATGTGAGGGGCTTTTATTGAAAGTATTCTCAAGTCCAAACTGTCCACTCTAAAAAAGCTAAGAAAGGCCCCCTTCCCTCCAGTCTTTAGCACCTGGTTAGTTCCCCTCTCCTCCCAGCCCCCGAATCGCCCCACGTTTCCTGACACCCAGCCCTGAGGTCCCCACCTAGGTGATGGACGAGACCCCTTTCCCAGCTCGAGACCCTCGGGCCCGCGCCTCCAGCCCGCTCCCGAGCCGCAGTGGCGAGTAGGTGTGTCCCGCGCGGCCCGCGAGTCAGTCCGCTAGCCGGCCCGCTAGCCTGGCGGTCGGCCGAACCCCTGCGGACCGGAAGGTCTCCTTCTCGCCGCCAAGCCTCGGGGCCCCGCTCACCTCTGCCGGGAGACACCCCCCCCCTCACCTCTACAGCGCGGACCACCTCCCTCGCGGCGGCGGGGCGAACCACACTAGACAAGAACCAGACCAGAAAGGTCGTCCGCAAACGTGGCCCTGCGTGGCTTCCGGCCCGTTGTCCCGCCCCTCAGCCAATCACAGCGCGGGAAGAGTCCGCGGGCCTGGCCCCGCCTCCTTGCCGGTTACGCGCTGCTCGCGCCTGCGGAACTGCGGATCCGCGGATCCGCGTTGCGAAAGGGCTTGGGGCTGTTTCCTTTGAATGACCGGGAAGGGTGAGGCCCCCGCGGTGGCCCGGGGATTGGGGCCGAGGGTCGCGGGCCCTCAGAGCACTGCGACCGGCAGATACGCAGCCCCTGACTCCAAATTCGGGTCTCAGAGGGCGGCAGGGCCCGCGTTCCTGGGAAACCGGGCTTCCAAGTGGTCCTGGATGGGGGGTACCAGCCCCGATATGAGGCCTCTAACTAGGTGGTCCCGGCCCCAGTGAGTGCCACCCAGCTTCTCGCATCCCACTCTCGATTCTCGAGGTTCATCTCCCAAACGTCTGATTCTGTGGCGCCTTCTCGTGCCCCACCCCCTTCCCCATCCTACCGCCCCAGCTCGCACAAAACGTCATTTTATTTATTTACCTGTAAGACCCCCTCACTAAGCCTGGGCCCCTCGGGGCAGAGGCCAGGTGGATCCAAATCGCCCGGACTCACAGGATGCCGCCCGGGGCCAGGGTGGCTCCCGAGAAAGGCGGAAGGGCCCACCCGGGGTTCGTGGCCCTGGGGCTGAGGGGCGGCAACTGGCGTGGAGCGCGGCGGGGCCCCGGAGATCTGGGAGCCGGGGGAGGCGGAGCTCCGCCCCGCCGGCACTGCGGGCTTCCCTCGCCGCAGCGGCCAGCTCCGCCCAAGCCCGACACCTGGGTGGGATTCGGAGGCTGGGCCCCTCGCCTTTCCCAGAATTCAGGCTTGCAGAGCGTCTGCAGGTGGTGGTTGCCCAACCACCTGCAACTGCATAATTCGGAACACTTGTTGAGAGTCCGGATTCCCTGATCCAGATCGGAAGCGGGGGCTGGGGATAAAGGGACTGGGAATCTGAATTTCAACGACGTATCTTGGAGGATGTCGCGTATACTAGATTTGGGGGCCAGGAGATAAAGCAGAAGAGTGTAAGTGTCCCGGTTTGTGCCCCTAGCTCTCGACGCGTAATAGCGCTCCTGCAAAGCTGCTTCCACGGAAAGGGAGCTGCGGGAAATTCCTCTGGACACCGCCGACGTTGACAAATCCAGTGTCCCTGGGCCCTTCCGGTTTTCCTGACAGGTTGATTTCAAGTCAGCATGTCCGCTTCAATGAACGAATGCCTTCAACTTCAGCTGCTGGAGATGGAAATGCTGTTTTCTATGTTTCCTAACCAAGGAGAAGTAAAACTTGAAGATGTCAATGCCCTGACGAATATAAAGAGATATTTGGAAGGCACAAGGGAGGCACTGCCACCAAAAATCGAATTTGTGATTACACTCCAGATCGAGGAGCCCAAGGTAGGTGCCCTGAGTGGTTTTAATTGTTTCCAGGTGCCCAGTTTATATTGGAAACACTTGGAACCTGAGCTTCCTGTACAGGAGGCAAATAGAGAATATTCCAGATGCATATATGAGATATTCCAGCAAAATATGGGATGACCTGTAAGTTGTTTTCAATAAAGATCTTGAATTTTACATACATATGCACACCTTTTATACCAATATGCCTAGTGTTTTTTTTAATAAATATGCCTAGTGTTTTTATTAAACACATCTTGCAGTCTTCTACTGCCATTTTTATTCTATTCACTCATCCATTTTTACCAATGTTGCTATTGTAGTATGGACTATCTTGTACATATGTTACGATCTTCACAAATCTAAATATTGTCTTTAGCAAAACTGGCTTTTAAGGAGTGAATGTTTCTTTGATGGCACCATGACACTGAAAGCAAATACAGATAGAAAATCTAAATTCTGAAAATGAATTCACCTTCACGTTCTGATCCATTATCTCCAGCAACTTTAGCAGAGCCCAAGTAACAAGTGGACCAGGCATTTGAGAACCGCTGTGCTAGCTACTTCCTAGTCAGCCTCTGGGCGTCATTCCCTCAGAGGAATTCCCTGGCTCCCCAGACTGGATGCAATCCCTCTGGTTCCACCTTTCAGTGGATCCCTGTACTTTTCTATGGCAATGCTTCTCACCTTTGCAATGAAATACTTGCTGTGTATAATTATTTGTTTAACGTCTGTCTCCTTCACTAGGCTCTCGGCTTCTTTCCATGAAGGGCAGAACTAGTGTCTAGCTTCTTCACTTCTTTATTTCAGTATAGGGCACCTGACACATGGTAGGTGTTGGATGAATATGGGAATGAATGAATGCATACATGGAAGGAATTTATGTATGTAAAACTGTGTTTGTAAAATTGTGCAGTGTCTGGCACGTAGCTGACACATAATAGTAGCAGTAACTATGACATTTATCAGCATCGTGCAGTGGCCATGGATAAACTAGCTTATGTGATTTTACGGTACTTAAATCTATTTGATTTTCATTTTAAGGTGAAAATTGACTTGCAAGTAACCATGCCTCACAGCTACCCCTACGCAGCACTGCAGCTATTTGGACGGTCATCCGAACTTGACAGACAACAGCAGCTCCTTCTCAACAAAGGTCTCACTTCTTACATAGGGACTTTTGATCCAGGTGAGCTGTGTGTGTGTGCAGCCATCCAGTGGTTGCAGGACAACAGTGCCTCCTACTTCCTGAACAGGAAGCTCGTGTATGAACCATCTGCACAAGCAAAGCCAGTGAAGAACACATTCCTCCGAATGTGGATCTACAGTCACCATATATATCAGCAGGACCTACGAAAGAAGATTTTGGATATCGGGAAAAGGTTAGATGTGACAGGATTTTGCATGACGGGAAAGCCGGGGATAATCTGTGTGGAAGGCTTCAAAGAGCACTGTGAGGAATTCTGGCACACAATTAGGTATCCCAACTGGAAACACATTTCCTGTAAGCATGCCGAGAGTATCGAAACCGAAGGAAATGGGGAGGACCTGCGCCTTTTCCATTCTTTTGAAGAATTACTTCTTGAGGCCCATGGTGACTATGGCTTAAGGAATGACTATCACATGAATCTGGGCCAGTTCTTAGAATTTCTCAAAAAACACAAAAGTGAGCATGTTTTCCAGATATTATTTGGTATTGAAAGCAAAAGTTCTGACTCCTAGGAAGCTATTAAGAGACCTATGCTTGTAATCTTGCTAAGTTAGTATTTCTGTTAGTAAGACCAAAATAAAAGGACCAGTGGCTGTTAAGCATCATCTGTGGGGAATCTAGCTCCAGCATTTTTCCCTGGAAATGAAACACAGAAGGCTTTTAACTTTATAACAGTGCAATTGTGATGTTACCTCTATGTTCTTGTGTTAACTGAAAGCTATTTAATGGTAAATTAATAAAAACCTGTCTGTCAGTTAAACCGGTGAAGCTAATTTGATTAAAAAGGAGTCCAAAGCCCAGTTTAATGGCAGTAGTCAAATTGCAGCTCCGAACTCATAAATACGAATAACATTTCTCCTTTTCGTGTTGCTAGCATGCAGGTGACACCCCACATTTTTATAAGTCAAGTTTAAAGTCAGAACAAAGAGAGAGCATGTGTTTACCACGTTTCTCACTTTAACTTAAACTCCGTTTGGGGTTTTTTCTTTTCATAAAGCCAAATCCTGACTGTAATGGTGGTGACACCACGCCGTGTTGTTACATCGGTTGATTGACAATACTAAGGATCATGTACCAATATCCTTAGTTGGGTTCTTCTCCACAGAACAAGATGTGGTTTCTTGTCCACGCAGCCCCACCAGTAGTGCGCATGGGTCTTCGTCCCTGTGCCAGTTTGCATCGCTCTGTGGGGCAAGGAGTTTGGGAGAGGACCACTGTGTATGTCCCTGTACCATCACCTTCCTAGAGGACAAAAGTCAGGCTCTACATTTTGCTGATGTCACTGCCATCTCTTCTGAAATTTTCAAGCTCCACAACTTCACCTGCCTGCTTCAAAATGAGTTTAATGATAATAGCTCCTATTTAAGTAGCTCTTGCCAAACCTTTTTATTACAAAGCATCTACCCCTCTCCAGGAATTTCTGGGAGTCTCACCTGCAGTAAGGGAGGACATAAGGTCGTGAGCTCCCTCTCTGCAGCTTTCTCTGGTTTCCCACTCTCTCTTTAGCTACTACTGTCCTCTCCCGGGGAGCACCCCACCGACGTCCTGGTCCCCTCAGAACACCAAAGCTGGGTGCTGAAATTTAGCCACATGGAGGGGATGCTTCACTCCCCATCTCATGATGATGTTAGATGCCAAAATTCCTGCGTGTGCTGGTGGCACTTACAGAATCTTTGATGAAACCGTCCATTCCGGTGTCTGGTTTTAGTCTGTGTCTAGGATGCAGACACATGTCCGGGCAGGGCCAGGACGTGACAAACAGCAGACCCTGCACTAAGCTGACTCTCCTAACCGTGAGGCCTGGGAACGGGGTCCACTCTGTCCTTCCCTGCGCTCTTCTTAGCTCATCAGAATGAGTCTCCTGTCACGGCGCAACTCAGACCCTCAAACCAAGGCTCTTGTCGTGGGCCTGCCTTGCCTGCTTATCCACCTTGCCTATTCACGTTTTAATCCTGGCTTTGCATGTGCCTGGGGCTCAAGCTGGGGCCTCACTTTCCCTATATACCAAGGGAAGAAATAGGGCTGACATTGCCAAAGACTCATTTCTCAATCTTTACCAGGACTGAAAACAACATAGTATAGAGTTCAATTTCCCATAGAATCTCCCCAAGGCCATAAGAAGTATAATTAGCATTCTCAAGTTTTCAGGCCCTAAACAGATGTAACCCCGTTAACTTTTTTCCCTTTGAACTGAGACAGGAATAGATGCCATCCACCTAATATGTGCCTAAGCCACTCAGAGAGGGTTTTCTATGAT